TATATATATATATATATAATATAATTATAATATATTATAATATATATATATATATATATATATATATATATATTTGTTTATATGTATAATGTATAATATATTATAATATATTATATATATATAATATATATATATATATATATATATATATATATATATATATATATATATATATATATATATATATATATTATATATATATATATATATATATATATATATATATATATATATATAATCAGACAAACAACACATGCATAAAATGGACTAGTGGCCAAATCTACTTCTACAGGTACAATCATACATAAACAACAATAAGAACCCAATAACGACCCGTATACCTATAAAGTCATACACATTGGCACTGTAACATACATACCTGGGCACATCGTCGGCCTCAAAAACGACGCTAGGAATGCCGGCTGGTATTTGAGAGACTCTGTCATGGGGAAGATGGCATTTTCGCTGGCATCCACCCACTCGTTGAGCAGATCAGCAGGCCAGTGTTTCAAATCAGCTGTTCAGGTACGTTCAAGTTACGAAATCAGATAACTATATCGGTTAGTATTTCTATTCGGTTGTTTAGATGAGATACAAATACAGAACACTATAGTCGCCAGTGCTTCAAATCAACTGTTTAGATACGTTCAAGTTACGAAATCAGATACTTTTATCGGTCCGTATTTCTAATCGGCTGTTTAGATAGGATACAAATACCGATGACGTTTAAGCTACGAAATCAGCTATCAAATCTCGGCCGTTCAGATGAGTTAAAATTCCGATGGTTGTACTGGCCAGTATGTCGAATCGGTTACAATTCAGATGGCAGCGTTGCAAGAGGGCTGTTCCAGGAAGTTACGAACTCAGACCACTAAATGTTTTTCTATGATAGCGTCTAGTGGTGTGCGGTGCGTTTACGAATTACAGAAATACACCCCATGTATTAAGAGATACACCCCATGTATTAAGAGATACACCCCATGTATTAAGAGATACACCTCATGTATTAAGAAATACACCCCATGTATTAAGAGATACATCCCATGTATTAAGAGAGGGGAGATGACTTTTAACCCGATAAGGAAAAGCCCGCCACTGTAAAATACGGTTAAATGCAACAGTGTATGTGAAATCCTGTCTCAGATGAGTGCAGGAAGGTATAACAACCAATACTTTTCGGCAATACAGATATCGCTAATAGTACTCGCGAGTGAGCGAATGGATACCGGTGAGTGTCACACAGATGTGAAGGTGAAATTTTTCCTTATACGGCACTTACCGTAATTTTATGTTAATTAAGAGCCCATACCGTCTATAAACAGCACCTCGTCAGCCATCGATGAACCGGTGGAGACCAGGATATTGCGGTAGCGTGGCAGAGACTGGAATGGTATTTTATACTGGACAATTAAAGAGGAATAAAGAGGAATTAGATCTCCATGCAGTGGAAATGACGATAAGTAAATACGTGCATGACATTGAAAATAGGATAGAATATATAGGCACCCAACGAACCCTGGTCTGACACTGGATATACTACCAAGGTGATTCTAGAGAGCAAAGAAAAGAAGGACACGTCAGAATTAGGATTCAGAATTGGTGCGACGAGGCATTCGCCAAAGTGAATTCTGCCAAAATTCGCACACACGCGCACCCGTTTAACGCCAAAACATCACTAACCTCGAAACTGAAAATACATACCCGTTATGGCACCACTTTTGATTTGACAATTTGCACCGTATCTAAACAAACAGTTATTTATATCTTGTCACATATATATTGCCGTGTACATATGCATTTCGAAAAACCTGGATGCATCGGTGACTAGAAGATTCACATTCATTTTATTTCAGTGTGTATTCTAGGCATCATACAGGTACACACATACGGAATAGTACACGAAGAAAGCACGCATAGATCTCGTCTACACATAATCATAAGCACGAGTGGTTAGACATTGGCACATCATACGCTTATGTAAACTCACGCCCAAATACTTACACTTGTCGACCCGATTTTCATCAGCGCAAAATCTTGAGCGCAAAACACTTTCAGATCCTTCCACGGCCAGTCCGTGTGCCTGGTTAGCCCTTTAGCTTCTCTGTAGCTGTATTCATCTCCCGCCAAAATCCAGAGGCGCATATGTTCTGCAAATATTCAAACCAAAAAAAAGGATTGGGAATTCGAATTAATGGTCATAGTCAGCGTATACTCCCAAACACATACGCACATGTCATAATAAAATCAGGGTTGAGAACTCGAATTGACAATTTCAACTAGCGTATTGGCTCGGATTAAAACACATGCAATCATATAGAATGAGACATTCGCATATATACATATGCACACATGACCATCATTGTTGGCAGACATAGTCCGCACAGGACGCACGCAATAGACCAACATTACGGATGCACATTGAGAATACCATTCCAGGCTCTCTGTCTGCTCGTACACAAGCAAACGCCACCCCCCAGTGTGAGTAGTATAGTACTATCAACTCATAAGCCCAGCTGCACAGATATTCTCTGCATACAGCATAATATATACA